TCTGATATTGAGCCATCTTTATGAGGTATCTAAAAGATCCAATAGCATTAGAAGGAGGTTAAAATACTTTTCTCCCTAAACTACGTATTGACAAATGGCTATAGAGAGGTATAGGTACCAGATTCTCTATCATCCTATTTTTAAATGAGGCCATATATCCCCTGAATGAAGAATCATATTTAGTTTCAAGAAGGACAGGATAAGAAAGCGCCTGGCACACAATAGATGCTTAATAAATTTCTATTAATTGACTGATTCGTCTCTCAACTATGACAAAGGTTAGCAGATGTAAGATTAGCACTAATTAAAGTCCATAATATAGTCCAGTCATCTGCTAGCACCAACTGGAAGGGACAGACTCATCTATCTGGGAAGCCAGCAGATCCATTTTCCTTATCCAAAAGTAATCCAATAAGAGAACCTGCTGTATCAGAGTTCTGGCCCAATGTAGCTGGCAACTTCTCCTTATTTTGGGTGTGTGTGTATCAGGCTATCCTTCCCCAATGTTCCAGTATTCCACAGAAAAAGCAATGAACTTGTAAATGTGAGAAATGCTAAAAAAAAAAAAGGTCTTTTTTGAAGTTGTAATCCAAGCAATAGGATATGCAAGGAAAGTATGTGTCCATAGTGGGTAAAACGCTAACTAATGACAGAGAGAAAGTAAATTATTCAATTTTTACTCTGCCTCCATCTTCATCAGCAAGGAAAATGATATTTAAATTGGAAGGAATAAAACAAATGTCTAAGATCTATAAGAAAAATAAGATAGTAACTAAAGGATAGAGAAGAACTGACTTGACAGCAATTTGTGTGAAAAAGACCAGTGTCTTTTAGTCGATCACATGCTCAAAAGAAGAAGACAATATGAAGTGGTTAATAAACAAAAAAAAGAAAACCTAATGCATGGTTAGGCTACATTAATAAAATTAGAGTATACAGATCAAAGGGAATGACTATCCCCCTGTACTCTGAGCTGGTCAAACACACCAGGAATGTAACATTCAATTCTTGACACCATGCTTGAAAAAGGATAGCAGCAAAGTAGAGAGCACCTAATGGAGGATAACCAAGATGGTGAGAGATCTGGAAACTGCATCATATGAGGAATTATTGAGGAGCCAGGAAATGTTTAGCTTAGAGAAGAAAATACAAAAGGGAATATAATAACTGTCTTCAAGTTTTTGAAGGGCCAGTAAATGCTTGTAGATTGAACGGAAACAAAATAGTACAAGGGAAAGAACAATGACTCTGGAATCCTCCCTTAGCCTGATGCAATTGCCTACATGGACTTTGGAGAATTCAGTTCGTTTATAACTATTTCAGGTCTGCTTACTGCACAGTAAGGAAAGGCTTTTTGAGGCTTCTGAGCTACAACTGAGCACACATAAATAGGCCTCAACAAGTAGACTCTGCTCTCTTTCCTGGTGGTAAACAAGGCGAGGGCTGTTGTAAGCTTCTCAGTAAGAAGATGATGTAGCAGTGGCCTTCTGCTGACTGCTGCTAATTCCCCATCCAAGTAAATATGTGGCCATGAACATAGGGCCCCTATCTGCTGGTTCTTTGCATTTGTTCTTTCTTGTTCTTGGATGAAGGAGTATCGGAGATGGAATGGAACAGGCTATAATCTCACAATATCTCAAAAAGTCCCAGGCCAGTGGGCCATGCTATAGTTTGCCACCAGCGCAACCCCAAGCAGTAACTTACGGGACTCAGCCCAGTAGACCTGTCAGCCAAGATATCATTTTCTGATTCAACTTCATCCACTAACCTTGTCAATATGGTGGAGTTAGTGCATTGTAACAAATGCCTTAAGTTTCAGCCTGTTCTCCCCAAGGACCAAAGTGGCATGGGGAAAAGTGTGCCACTGATTCAGGAAGATGTTTTGGACTTCTGTTCTCACTATATCTTCTCAGTAAAATTCTTTTATAAAAGCTAACTGATAAAAATTAGTGAAATGATTCCCAGGCACTAATGAAGAAGAAATCATTATGTACAAACCAGATATTCAATAAGGAGAGAAGAAGCTGAAAGGAATAACAGTAAATCCCTTGCTAAAATTTCTCTCCTAATTAGGAAAAAAATTATCTTGGAAATTTACATAGATCAGGATCAAAGACACATGCTTTTCTCTAGTTTTTCCTCTACCTTCCCTCTTTCAGATCAGAAAAAATAATAGTGTGAATAGGAAAAAGTGGTTAAGTCTTTCCTTGAAATTATTGAGGGACTTCACTCTCAGGAGAGAGCTAACCTAAACTAACAATGTGTCATCAACAATTCTAAATCCATGTGAGAAAATAGATAAAAGGCACAGTAGCACTGCATAAGGAGATATGGTCATAAGAAATCTCAATGTTCATAAATACAAGAAAAATAAAATTATAGTTGTCCCTTACAACAGAATAAGAGAAACCAAAATTAGATTAAGCACTGATTAATCAGAGATTTAGTCAGAGATACACTATCCCTAAGTATTTAAAATTCTTTAAACTTTGTCTTAATTATGATTTATTTTCTTATATTCATTCATTGTCATTTTTAATAGTAAAATTTCAAGTGAAAAATGTTACTGGATCATGTACTAATCTATTGTCTTACTTGTTTGTCCTTCAAGTAAGGCTAAACATTTGGTCTATGTAGCCCAAGTCAGCTAAGGGTAGACCTGATAACCCGAACCAATTAAATGATGACAAATGTCACAGTCCTTTTAAAGTAACAATCAAATTGAGGAGTGAACTAGAAGACCGCCAGAGATACTATTATTTATTAGCTAATATGTAGGTTTAGGTATTCTATGAAAATTGTTATTTAAACAAGCTCTGACTTGAAAATAACAGGGATATACATACAGTCAGGTTCCTAGATCACTTAAGGGAAAGTCACACTAGGAAACAAGGAATACATAAAATATAAATACAAGCAACAAAACTGGTTTCCATGTGCATGGGAATGATCTCATTACTTTAAAGACATGACTTGTGCATAGTTGTGATTTTTTTCTTCTGAAAGGCCTCATGTAAAGAAAAGGCTGACTTCCGAAAGGAAAGGCACCAACCACTTTGAAAAAATTCTTCAGTAGACAATGAAGGTCATAAAGAGCCTATCTGATGAGAAAGTCTAACCAGAGACTACACTTACAAGTCCTAGAAAGTCATGCAGAATTTTAGGAATACAAGTTGGTCACTGATCCGGTATTACAAAGAGTTAGTGTAAGATCTGTACTGCACATCCTTCCAAAAGGATATGAATCAACTTAAAGACTAAAACACTGCAACTGAAGGAAATGGAAGAAATAGACATTTTCCAATGCTAGTCATCCAAACACCTACTATATGCCAAGCACTGTGCTAATGTTCAGATACAAAGAAAAAGAAAAAAGAATCAATCCCTCCCCTTAAGAAGCTCACAGTCTAACGGGAGAAAACAAACTCAAGCAAAGAGCAATACTTGGGTAATAAATATTCTGTTCTCAATCCTCATTCTTCTGGATCTTTCTGTAGCTTTATTACTATTGACCCCCCTCTACTCCTTGATACCCTCTTCTCTCTAGGTTTTGGAGACACCATTCTCTCCTCATTCTCCTCCTACCTATCACACCACTCCTTAGTTTCCTTTGCTGGATCCTCATTCGGATCACACCCTGGGCTCTTTTCTTTTCTCCCTCTGTACTACTTCACTTGGTGATCTCATATAAGCTCCAATGAATTTAATTTTCATCTCTATGCTGATAATTCTCAAATCTCCCTATCCTGCCCTAACCTCTCTGCTGACCTCTAATCTTGCATCTCTAATTGCCTTTCAGACATCTCAGACTGTATGTCCAATAGACATCTTAACTCAACATGTTCCAAGCTGAACTCATTTTCTTTCCCCAAATTCTTCCCTGCTTCTACCTTCCCTATTACTGTAGAGGGCAATGCCATCCTCCCAGTCCCTCAGGCTCCCAATGCAGGAGTCATTCTGGGCTCCCCATTATCTCTCACCCCACTCCCCATATTCAATCTGTTGCCAAGGCTTGTCAATTTCACCTTTACAATTTGTTCCCTTCACTCCTCTGACATTGTCACCACTCCAGTGCAGGCCTTCATCACTTCACACTTGGACTATTGCAACAATCTGCTGGTGGGTCTTCCTGCCTCAAGCCTCTCCCCACTCCACTCCAATCTTCATTCAGCCACTAACATGATTTTCCTAAAATTCAAGTCCAACCATGTCACACCTAATCATTAAACTCCAGTGGCTGTCTATTGCTTCCAAAATCAAATCATACCTTACCTTACTCCCCAACACTTACTCTTGAATCCAGTGACACTGTCTCCCAGCTGTTCCATAAACAAGATACCCCATCTCTCAGCTCTGAGTAGTTTCTCTGACTGACTGCCATGGCTGGAATGCTCTCCCTTCTCATCTCCTCCAGATGGCTTCCTTGGCTTCCTTTAAGTCCCAATAAATCCCATCTTCTATAGGAAGTCTTCCTTAATCCCTCTTAATTCTAATGCTTTCCTTTTTTTAATAACTTCTTATTTATCCTGTATATAGCTTGTTTGTACATTATTTGTTTCCTTGTTCTCTCCCCCATTAGACCATGAGTGAGCTCCTTGGTGAAAGGGAGTCTTTTGTCTCTTTGTATCCCCAGGCTTAGCACAGTTCCTCACACATAACAGGTGCATAATGTTAACTAACTGACTAAGACTTCCTCCAGAAGTTGGAGACACTTTGAATATACTCTTAAGAGTTCTGCATTAATCTGTTAACCAAAGAAGGGAAGCTTGTACATCTGCTCATAAACCCCAAACAATTAGGTCTGAGGAAACTCTCAGTAACACAACTGTGATTCCTACCAAAGAACTCTATTTCTTACCCCCATCCTGTATAATCAACCCGCAGTAATTCTCTAGAAGCAATGTAATACTGCAGTTTGTGTTTCTTGAAAATGTAGATAATATGAAATATGTTTTAAAATAACTTTACTAAAATAAATATACCAACTCCTGAAGCCTTACCTTGCTACTCTTCCTCGAAGATCTCCCAAACCAGAAAGTTGGCGCATCTCCAGACTCTTTAAGGCAGAATTTGTTCCATAACTGATGTTATCCCTGGCACGTATCTGTTCTTGTAGGACCTTAATTCAACAAGAAAATAGCAAACAAAGTCACTTGGACTTACAGGAAAGAAGTTTTAAGCTTCTTGTGTGAAAAAAAAAATTTCTCATCAATTACAAGAGGGTACATCTGAAACAATAACCTGATATAAAATTATATATGGAATGATGGAATTTTTGAGGTTCAAGATATCTCAGATTCTGCTCTTCCCCCCATTTCACAGATGAAGACACTGAAACCAAGAGGTGAAGTAGCTTTGTTCCACATCATCCAGAGAGTTGGTGAAAGAAACCAAACCAGAACCCAATTTTCCTAACTTCCAATCCAGCAGTCTTGTCTGATAACATTCATGGCTTTGCATGAAGCAATCTTCTACAACTTAATAGATGTAACACCTAAGGGAGGAGTTAAATTATTTCTAGCATTTTCTCATAGTGAAAGTCATTTTTTCACAAAATCCTTTGAGACTCAAGAGTTAGCTAACTTCATGGGTAGACACTAGTTAAGCTTAACACAGGATTTTATCTTATGCATGAAATATAGCATGTATCAAGAATTCCTAAAAAGAAAAAAAAACAAGAACAAAAATAGTATATATTGAGAAAGGTGTTAGACAGAGTGTTATATTGGGGAAATCACCTAAAAGAGAACCAAAAATGTTATCAACAGATTGATATCAGTCTTGGAAGAAGTGCACTAAATGTTGTCCCACAGAAAAAGGATTTAAAGTTAAGATAAATGGAACATAGAGACATTTTGAGATACTGTCCTATCTGGTGATCCTAGGAAATTCTGTCCCACCTCCAGTTATTCAAATTTGCATGTGCCCAATAATTAACTACCATATAACAGTGAAAAATTTCTTTATGTACAATTATGTTTAAACTAAAACAAAGATATTTCAGCCAAACATAAAGAAGGATTGCTAAACCATCAAGTATGGCAGTTATTAAGTCTCCATCTCACAAAATCTTCATAAAGAAAACAGACAAGCTCTCTGTTCTAGAAAGGGACAGAAGACAACCCCTAGTACAGCATAGGGAACACAGAACCAGACTTTGGGTCAAGAAGAGCAGGTTTCAAATACATACTGCCTCTGATATTTTCTAGCATAAACATAAACAAATCCCTTTGCCTCACTGAGCCTCACAACTTAGCTGTAAAATAGAGGCAAAAATAACTGGAATAAATTCCTTGTAGGATTCTGGGAAGCCCAAATGAGATAATACATTTAAAGTACTTTGCAAACCCTCAAGAATCATACAAATGTGAGATGCCAATATTATTATTTATTTTTTGGTCTAAACCTGTGATTTCATTGTGATTTCATTCAAGGGAGGAAATCTCTATCAGTGCAGGTCAGTAACCCTTCTGCAACTTAGAGAGATGCACTGAGCACTGAAGGGTTAACTGATGGACCAACGATCACATAGCCAATACACTTTCAGAGACTTAATTTGAACCACATCTTTTCAACTCCAAGGTGAGTGCTGGGTTCTGAGCCAGAAGTGTAATAATTTCCTTCCAGTTCTAGAAATCCACACAGGTATGTATTACTACCTATTTGCATAAAAACTGTCAATTTAGAGAGAACCAGAAATTTATGCACTCATGATTCTACACCAGTAGGGATTCCAAAATTTTACTTGCAGATGTGCAAATAAGCTTTATGATCAAAGGATCCCACAATCAGCACTCTTAGTGTGCAAATGTTGTCATATCAATGTAATTATTACTGTGCTTTCCATTATGTCTTTTCTCCTCTAATACCATCTTGACCCCATGATTGGGCACTTCAATGGTTCACTAGCCATTACCCTAGAATCCTTCAGTCTGACCTTCCATCCCCAACTTGTGGATTCTAATTTTCTACTAACCCCACCTTCCAATTTCTTTGTTGTTTTTCCAAGAGGAATGAGTATCACTACAGAAAAGTCACAAAATCAAGTTAATTTCATCCCCACATAATTCAAGTACTTAGGTTCAGCTGGACCCATGCTATTATTCAAAAACCCTTCAACTCTACCTTTATCTAATTCCACAACTTTTTCTTTCTTTTTTCACCACCAAATACAGTGCTTTTCCCTATATGTGCATCAGATTACCTAGCTATCTCCTTCTCTGAGGTGACTGAGCCCATTTGACATATAAATTCATTCAGCTCCCTCCTCTATTCCTCAAACTTTCTCAGCAGCAACATCTTTATCTCCTTCATTTCAATGGTCATACAAGAGATTGCACCTTCATTCACTAAGCATAATCCCTCTATTTGGACCAATGATCTCTTTACCTAGTTCTAGCAGTCATTCTTTCTCATGAGTGTTCAACCTCTCCTTCAACACTAGCTCCATCCCAATCTCCTAAAGATATGCTCAGTTCTCCTTAATCCTAAAAAAAGTTTTCCTTTAACCCTTCTCTCCCATCTTTTTACCTGCACTACTAAATTTCTAGAAGTGTGCCTTCACGCTGTTCTCCTTAATTCTTTGCAATCAGATTTCAATCCCAACCACTCCACTTAGAAAGTTACTAATAAACAAATCCAATCCAATTACCAAATCCAAATCTAATCCAATCACCAAATCCAAGAGTCTTTTCTTAGTCCTCATCTTCCTCAAGCATTCTGCTACTTTTGATGGTGTTGACCACTCCCTGCTAGTAGGATATACTCTCTTCATTTGGTTCTCCAGTTTCTTCTTCTTCTCTAAATGTTCCTCTCCTCCTTTCCAGGCTCCTCATCTCCAGAGCTTCTTAACGTGGGTTCTCCTCAACGGTCAGTCCTTGGCCCTCTTCTCCTGTCTTGGTGCCTTAGCCCCATCTACTCTGTCTTGCCAGTCTCATTCAATTTTGTAGCTTAAAGATAACTACAAAATTTGCAGCTCCAGAACTAAGCCTTATTTTTTAGCTCTAAACCTATAGTACTCACTAAGATACATCTCCAACTGGTTCTGCTATATCTCCTCAAATTCAACATACCTAAAACCAAATTCATTAACCTTCTCCATAAACTTCTAATTTTAATGTTTCTTTGTGACATCACCATTCACAAATTCTCCCATATTGCTAAGCTTATTATTATCTTTGACTTTTCCTTCTCTCTCATGTCTTGTTTTGAATCAGTTACCAGGTCTCATCATCCTACCTCCAAAACATCATTTGTATCTGTCTCCTCTTCTCTATTCACACTGCCATCATCCTAATTTATAGGCCCTTATTAATATCCATCTGGACAACTGCCTTCTTTAAGCGTTCAAACCTCCACTCTCTGCCTCTAATCCATCCTTCATACTGCTATCAGAAAAATCATCCTTTTACATTACTACATAGCCAAATTTCTACTCAAAAACCTCTAATGGCTCCCTATTATATACCAAGTTCAAGCTCCTTTACTTGATACTCTGGATCCTAGGCAATTAAGCACCATCCTACCTTTCTAGACATATCTTATTTCTCTGCTTTACTCTCCAACAAAACTGGACTATTCCCTGGCCCCTGAGCATGTGCTATATTCTCACACCTCCATGTTGCTCAGGCTGTTTCTTATACCCCAATTGCCCTCCTGCTCCTTTTTTGACTAACAAATTCCTATTAATCCTTTAAAGACCCAAATTAAGTGCCATCTCTATCAGGAAGTCTTCCCCACTTTTCCCTGAGTAGATATTGTCCTTGTCCCCCTGACCTCACATAGAACTGTATAGTTTTCTAATGCATTTATCACACATCAGTGTAGATATCTATGTTGCTGTGTTATCTCCCTACTGGATTCTAAATTCTGAAAGGGCAATAGCCTATCTAAATGGCACCTTCCTCTAGATGCCTTCCCCTCAACAACCTAGCTATAGGAAGCAAGTGCTTTCACAAATGTGTATTGTGTTGTATTGTACTCTATTGTACTGTATGGTACTGTATTGTTCTCAAGGTCTCTAGTAGAAATACTCTGTTGGATGTGAGTAATTAGTCATTGTTACTGCTGATATTGTTATATGCCACCACCAACCAGTAAAATTGGTCTCTAATTTCATTCCTTTCATAAAAGAACGATGGTGGAACAAGGTTTCAAAAGGGATAGCCAAGTGAATGGGGGTGGCTGGCTTAATAGGAGTAGCCATGGCAGCAGCAAGTCACAATTCTCTCTTACTGTTCTAGTGTCTTTTTCTTTTTCAAACAATTAAGAAAACAAAAATTCAAACAAGAGATACTCATCGGCAAATGCAAAAGTAACCTGGCCCATTTAAGTAGCCTTGCCTTCATAGAGCTAGACAAAGGAAAAGCAGCAGTTGGCAAAATATTAGAAGCCAAAAATACAAATTAAGGCTCAGACTGTCTCTATTAGTTCTAACACTATATGGATAAGAAACTTCAACAGAATGTGGTTCACTTTATACCTACGCAAATAATAAAATAATTTCTAGTAAATGCATGATGTCACAAATTTTCATCTCAATTTTTAAAAATAACAACTTTAAGTCTTTTACGGGATAAACTTGGGGGTTTTTTAACTGGAAATCATGAAAAGAGAAAGTTCATGAGGTCAAGCCATTGGCAGGGTCAAATAAGATAACACTGGTAAAGAGCCTTGTAAATTTTAAAGTATGATATAAATTATCATCATTATTATCACTTATTATTATTATTATTAAAAGTAATCTGGGAAATATTTAATGTATAACCTAACCATCACCAATCAAATGAGAAGTCAAACAAGAAAAAACAGGTCTAAGCTATCTCCAAAAGAAAAAGCAGCAAACACAAAAGTAAAGTTATAGAAGTAAACCGGTGAAAAAACCTAATGACATTTTTAAACTTTTTTTTAAATTTATTTGGGGGGGGGTTGGGGTTTTTGTTGTTGTTGTTGTTTTTTGCTCTTTAGCTAGGCAATGGGGTTAAGTGGCTTGCCCAGGGTCACACAGCTAGAAAGTGTCAAGTGTCTGAGGCCAGATTTGAACTCAGGTTCTCCTGACTCCAGGTCCTGTGCTCTATCCGCTGCACCACCTAGCTGCCCCCCAATTTATTATTTTTTACA